ATCCTTCCCTGTCTAATTTGTTAACTTTTTTTAGGATGTTATGTTATCTAGATGTGTGGAGTTTGTATCATTAGATTTTCAAGGAGCTTTTTATAAGGTGCTACACAAATTATTAACTAAGATAATCACATGTTTGGCATTGGTGAAAGACTAGTAAATTGGATTGTAGGGGCATTGTATGAAAGAAAGCAAAATGAGTTATTAATTGAACCTGGTCAAACTGGATCATTGTTATTAGCCAAGTATATCAGTGATCATTACTTGGGTCTTTGTTTCTTCTTTTTTCCATTTATGATATCGATAGGTATATAATTAGTAAATTTGCAAATGATGTATTTCTAGCTATACTGTGGATTTTGAAGTACTATAGAATGATTTAGATAAATTGGTTAGGTAGACATATATTTGAAAAATGATCTTTAATTACAGTATATGTAAGAGAATGCATTTGGTTTGTCATAATTTGAATCACACCTTTAATATAGATGGAAACACACTCAAGCCATCAAGGCAGTACTCTGTTGCTAGTAGCAAAGCTAATTGAATTTTATGGTGTATTCATAAACGTATTGATTACAAATAAAAAGATACGGTAACTATCTCTTTATACAACTCATTATTTAGACCTCATTTAGAATACTGTGGAAAGGGTTCAGAGGAAGGCTACTAGGAAAATTTCAGAGATGGAAGGGTTATTGTCATGGGAATAAGATAAGATCTTTTATTTTATTTTTTAAGAAAAGAAGAGTAAGAGGTGATCTTGTTGAAGTTTATAAGATTATCTGGGGGAATGAGAGGATACAAGTTGAAGATTTGGAAAAGACAGGCTATTTTCCAGTTAAGACAATTGTATTATTCTAACAGAGTGAGTGGCTTACAGAATGAGTTGCTGTTGACAGTAGTGGAAGTCAGAACTTTTCAAGAGAATACAGGGAAAATATTTACTTTAACTCCAAAGCTTGAAAGCTTTGTATATATCTTCTATTAATAGTTTAATGTCTTTCTACTCAGATATAAGCTTTTGGTTAGAATACTAGGTTTAAGAATTAATCCATTCCTGATCACTTGACTAAACTAATTAGAACTTCAATTTTTTTCATTTACACATTCTACATTTTGGTTAGTATTTCAACCTTTCTCCCTTTTTATACTTTGCAATCTATAAAATGTTGGTATTACTAAAATTTTTGATGTAATACTTGTACACATTTGTTTTACATATATATGTAAACATCAAATGTAATAATATTGTTACGGCATCGGAAATCACGTGGTGCTGGAAGCATGCGC